GGGACTAGAACCCAGAACCTTCTTGCTGTGAGGCCATGGTGCTAACCACCATTCACCACCGTGCCAAAACCCTCGTTTCCACAAACGCTTTCCAGCTGTGTTTCTCCAGGCTTTTATTGTTTCCCAGTCGGTGTAAAGCAGCATCGAATCTGCCCCGGGGGGAAACGCGTTTGTCTAAGTGTTTGTGTCGGGATAAGTGGGAGAACGGAGAGCAAACTGAGGCTCATTGTCCAATTTTGTGTTTGTGTCGAGACGAAACTCGACACAAACAGATGTTTGACCGGGAAAACATCTCATCCGAGTGTGTTCAGCAAATCAATTACAGCTTGATGCTAGTTGGGAGGGACGCATGCAGAAGCAGCACTTAACCCTTTGTGTGGTGTTCATATTGTTGTTACTCAGCCAGTGTTTGTGGGTCTGACGGACCCGTTGCATTTTGTGGCTTTTAATGCCTCAAAATCACTTTTATATTGAAACACTTTTATATTAAAATACTGAACAGATGTTTACCGTATCTTAACTTCTCTCTCTCATCCAAAATCCATCCAAAAAAATTATAAGAAACCACTCTGGCAAAGCTCTATGTAATAGAAATGTGTAGGGGGGGGTGTACGGTGTGTGGGCATTAAATATGAATTCTGATATATGTTCTTCACAGAAAATAAGCCAAAGCCAGTGAGTCTCAGTTTGAAAAATTAATTCAGTGTATCATTTTTCTTTTAGTAAAAAATTCAAACGGGTCCCACAGACCCGAACACCACACAAGGGTTAAATCCAACGTGGATGTTGTAAAAGGGAGGCGTTTGGTCTGAGTTTTGACGTTTTTTGGCAGGTTTCGTGCGGACGCTGGTGGCAGAGCTGTGGTCTGCTGTGGAGTGTGGAAGTGATGATGTCAGAGTGGTCCAACCCAGACCGACCCCCATGGACCCCATGGACAGGAGCTGCCTAAAGGTAGTCTACGGTGTTAGTAGGGGCGTGAAAAAGGTCGAAACTGGTCCTCAAGTTTGTCTGAAGTCTGAGAACCCAGTTTGTAGTGATGTGTCCCTTCGTATCGAGGCTTCGAAGCGCATGTCGAGAAATCCAGGATAATTTCTGTGAAGCGCGTCAATGACGTATGCGGTGACGTTTGAAGCCTCACACCACGTGACTGATTCAGGAAGTGGTTCGCGGTTTGGCGGTCTATTTGAAAAATAAGGGCCAGCAAAACGCAATGAATCCCCCCCTCACATTTTGTGGACTTGGGACTTAATTACGAGTGTGTTAGCGATCTATTCAAGCTTCCCTGTCATTGTATCATAAAGACAGACATCATCTAAAAGTTTATAAATCATGTATAAGCATCACAAACACCCATCCGTCCATTATGCTAACCGCCGATCCCCTAATGGGGTGGGTAGGGGGGACTGGAGCCAATGGGGAGGGGCGGGGTCAACCTGGATGGCAGCATCACAAACATAATTGATTAATTCACTCAATGCTTC